GTGTGTGTGTGTAACGTGTGTGTGTGTGTGTGTGTGTGTATTTTTGGTTTTTTATAGTGCATATTGATATCCTTCAAATAGATACAATAGCTTTGCTGATATATTTATCTATGCGCCTTCCGTGTCTTTTTCTACGTTAAAGAATAGAGTTTGCTACGTAGTTATCGCCAGTATCGCAGAATGCATGTACGAGAGACCGGCTTTATGTGATATCGTCAGTCGTTTTCTCATATGCGATAGTCCCTGGCCTCTACACGTGAATTGTCGGTCGCATAAACGACCTGGTATGTGAGCCTTGAAATCAATTGGGTGATTATTATGATGAAAGGGTACGGAATACTTTGTGAGAAACACTGCCGGAACTGTGAAAGCATATTTGCTGTAGAAGTTCATCCATCTTTTTGTATAAGATCACCACAATAGTACCTATGAATGATTTGATAGCATTTGCGAAGGCGTGTATCTTGACGCGGGATTGTATTTGTATCCGTCTACTATTTGAGAATTTCAAACGCGTTTTTCTCCCAATACCTACATGGACAACTGTGTTATAAGCTCGATTCCAATCTCGATATGATGGAGTGGAAGAAGCTCACGATCTCATATAGAAGTAAATCGTCAACCAGCGTCGCCCAAGGACCGTGAAACGATTAAAACCTGGTCATATGTGCATATGCAATTCGCTAGCAGAAGTACACAAACAAGCATATCTTCGGCGATCGACAACATTTTGCACACCCATGAATTTTTGTATTCAACATTATTCAATTCCATCGTCCATCGCCCGACTTTACATCAGGATCTAAGAAGAACTGAAAACGACATAAAAGCGACTGCAACCAATCTTGTAACAATTAAACCTTGGCGTATAGTATTCTATATAGTTATATGTGTGTGTACATATTTATATCGGTAACCAGCTGCGTTGATATGTATATATGAAAATATACAATTTGTCCATTATAACCCACCTCCCATACGCTTCCACCTGACAATCGCATCCTGCACACTCCCTGTGAGGGCGTGCCCGATGTGAAGCGATCCTGTCACATTCGGTGGCGGGAGAAGCATCGAGAACTCACTACATTCTGTATTTGTGCTTGTATTTGTACCCACTTTCCTCGGTTTGAATATACCCGTCTCTTCCCACCATTTATACGTCCCCTCCTCGACGGCGGAGCTGTTGTACGCACTGGGCAGGGGTTGACTGGGATCCCGATGGTAGCATGCACGTATTGTTCTTAGAACTAGTAAATTTTCTGACCGAGCGTGTAAGGTATCACAACGTTTATAGCTCACATCGATAAGTCGTCGGGTAAACTTCATGCTGTACATATGCAGTTGTACGATGTGCTACCTCTCACTGACCCTTGCAACGAGCGAATAATTTGTGTATTTATATCTAAATAAAACGACGATGTATTATGTTTGGGTGCGCTCAACCCTAAACCCTAGAGTTGGGCTACTGAAATTGGCACAGGTGACACTGACACTTTCACATCAGGATCGGGTCCTCGGGAATTTATGTCCTATTTATAGTACATTATTTATTTTTTAACCATTTATAATATTATAATGACCCCTTCTTGAAGAGCATCCCTTGTGTATTCACCGTATACTGATATTCGTCGTCCGCGAAATTTGTGGAGCAAGTACTAATTAATTTACTTTCTTCAGCAAATACTTTACTGATACGTTGGAATATATACTTGTTCAATGATGTAGCTGATATATCCAGGAATGCTATATTAATCCCTGACGTCTGACAGTAGAGATCTGCTGATAGAAGGCGATGAGTTGTATTGCAAACCATCAAGCAAACTATTTATTGTAGGCATCTTGGCGTAAACTTTCAGCTTCTCTCACTATCACTTGCGTCCCTTGTACGGTATGTCTCTCAGAGTTAAAGCAAATTCTCTACTTTGTTAAAATAAAAAAAATATGTGGAAGAATCCGACTATGTCTTCACACGGGTTCCAGAGTACCATAATGTATAATTGTCTACCCATGAGATCAGATTGCCGCCTAGCAATTTGTACAAAAGTCCAGCTTACATATTTGAACCGTTACTAGTCGCTAGAAAGGCGAAGATTCAGACAATTCAGCTTGTGCACCTTACCACAGATCCCTTTTTCTAAAATGATGGATTGCTGCAGCAGTGGATTGTTCAGCAAGGCTACAAGGAGATAAATCCTGAATGCGTCGCAAATGCATTTTCTTTTTAGTACATATATCACAAACAAGTTTGCGATCGAATATAATATCCTATTGTATGACAGCAACACACGATTGCCATAGTCGCGGTGTTGGGGCCACAGTACCGGATTGGAAAGTCTTTACTATTCTGTTTGGCGCGAAACAACATGTACTATCATCGGGGGCCAGTTATCGATCAGTCCAGTACATAACTAACTCGTGAATAAGGTACTACTGCCTACTGGCGACTACAAGCATCGCTTTTCGGGTGGCTTCAGGCTTGAAGATGACGTCTGTGAAGACGATGACGCTGAGGTCCTGTTTGGTGAGTTGCGTGCACGACCTGCACGTATGGTAATCATGGAGGTCGTCGCTGATAGAAATGTTTGAGCTTGATTTGTGGGGAACAAATGACAATTGTAAGTATAATATATAGATACGAAATCCAGGTTCCTTCAGATCAGCCTTCAATACACTCCTGAAGAGTATATCGCAGAAGCCCAAGCCAGTTGTATTCATCACCATTGATGGCAAACGAGTCTACTTTATTCTCTTCTCACCTCCTTTATAGAAGGCTATGTTCCTAAACCCTAATTTAAACATCTAGAGCGAATCTATATATTCTATGGCTATTCGATTCTTATCACACTACTTTGCTCCTTGGGCGAGCCAGTACTGCTTGCGCAGTGCCTCGACGAATACGAACATCGCCACTGTATGCCCCCCACACCTTCCGAAGTATGGCAGAAATCCGCCCCATAGACTTAGGGCTCCTTCCGCTTTGGCCACGCTCGATATGGTCTGTCACATTCGTGTTAGTAGTAAAACAATCGTGAAAATATCAGTTCGAAGTAGCACACAATGCAACCCAACATAGCAATACTCGCGTCAGACAGATAGTAAGTTCTAGAGTATGGCGAATTTACAGATGGCTCTCAGTGCTGCGCAAGCAAATGGAATGAGCCTTTCCGCAGACCGGTATTATTGTCGAAGAAAATACAGTGCAAACTGTTGCCTTCTAATCTAAAACAGCCGCGACAGCCAAAACTGTTCTAGCATTTAACTGATGAACAGACACTGATAATGATGAAATCTGCAGTTATAAAAGTCATCACGTACCTGAATAGTTCCTGTGTATAAAAGTTTTCCTGTGGCAGGATCCGGTTTCTGAAAGCACATTCGATTCTTAGCGCTCTCGAAAGGCATGGTGATGACCGAATAGATCAGACCAGCAGTAAATGCCGATGCAGTCACGTTTGACAGACTCCCAGTAATACCTAGGTTTCTGTAAGTACAAGATATACATCCGTTACAAAGAGCGATGGATCTGGAGGAGAACACCAGTCAAAATTAAAAACAGAATACCATCCGGGTATCAACCATACCTGTAAATGTCCTTACAAGAATCGAAGGTGGCAACCTGAGTGGCTCCCTATACAAAAAAAGAAGACGATTCTATATTAGTGAGATTTCAACATTGAAATGACAGCGGGATTTCTAGAACAAACCGGGACGTGCGTGTCTTCCAACGATTGCACCACTTACTACTAACATAGCGCGAGTGATGAACGGAGTAGAACCTCGCCAGAAGGCCGCTACGCCTTCTTCCTTTGTGATACGAGCAGCTGCATTGATTACACCGCTGTAGTTCCGGCGCTGCAGATGGGCCAGAGAATGTATGAGCATTGATTCTTGCAGGCAGATCGTGGTACGTGAGTAAAGAAAGAAGCTGTACTAGTTGGTCCTCTCAGAACAACAAAATGGAAGTTCAAATAGCCAGTATTCCAAAAAGCAAAATGGGCAGATAGGCCTAGGAAATCAGCAATTACAAACACGAGATACTCGGGCTTTATATAAATTTCAACACTTGCACATCCAGGATAGGCAAAAGTATCCATGTCATGAATTTGTACGATTCGTAGAGGCTAAACCCATATCTCATTTATAGACGTCTTGCAAGAAAAATACTGTTTACACATAAAACCTTGATTGCAAAGTGCGATTATGCCTTTCTGTTTTTGTACATAGTAGACAAGAATGCGTTCTCAACTTCAAATACTTTGTGGTTACATATTTAGATGTTGCATCTGTTGTTATCGTATGCAAACGGACGTGTGTGACTTTTGAGTAAGAATAGAGAAGGGTGGGGGGGAGGTTGCAAATGAGTACAAAACCATATATTGACAATATTAGTGAGCACTGTCAAAATTTAACTTGAATCGATGTAACATTTTCAAAGTGACTAGTCAGGAATGTACCCCGCTTATTATACATGAATTCATGATAGAACTACACATTTGTATATAAATCTACGGCTGCTTGCTGCATACAATAGTCAAACTTATCGATATATACATAAACATGTACATGCCGACAGAACTGTACGTAAATCTACAGCCAACACTCATATACGCACTCCTTACTGATAAACTAAATTGAAAATTTGTAATGATTTAATGTCCATATCAACATATATGTTGTATATTTCTATGTATTTATGCCCCGCGTATCAAATGTACCTTAGCACTCCTACGTATATTCGTGTACGTAAATCCATCTCAAACAACCTCCCCAATAATCATGTCGTAAGGTTGAATTTTGGTATATACAGCCACCCAAAAACCAACCTTGGAAATTACTGGCTAGCTATACACTTATACTGGAAACGTGCATTGGATACATCTGGAATTAAATGTGGCTGGATTAAGGACCTGGGTGTGGTTATGTTCGTAGATGTAATACTTTGTATATTTTAAATCTAGTGACGTCTAAAGCATATAAAAGGATGTTCTTGAGAAAAACCTATGTCAGAAGAGTTCCATATTAGAAATATAACTCGTTCAAACCCTTACAATTTTAACTGTGCTAGGACAACTCTGAGTCTTAGATCATCCATACCTGCGCAGCAGGCAACGTTGCGTCATTGGACATGCGAACAAGACAAAGTTCGACCGGAGCACTGATCAAAGCTGCCGAGCCTCCAGCTGTGACAGCCGCCAATAGCCGCGACCACACATCCGTTTCCCGGTATTGTGCGAGTTTATCTCGAAAAACTTCAAAGAGACCAAAGCGAGAAGTCGCATAGAAAATCTGGATTTAAACGAACGGAACACTACTGAATACTTCTGAACACAGCTGTCAACCGTTTAGGTGTCCGTAACTTCTGGACTGGAGACGGGGATGTTTGGATATGTGATTATAAAAATGATAGGCAACAAGAATACTAAGGCTGGTTTACCTCTACAATATACTGCGAAGAAAATTATGATTAACAAACATGAAACAACACACCTGTCTGGTGATTCCAGCGGAGAGACCATTGTAGAGGGAGCCAAATCCATTCTTCCTTACAGCTTCCCGCACAAATTGTGGGAATGACAACTGCCTACCTCCAGCACTTTGTGCAAGGTTCATACGCACTGCTAGAGTGTTGAAAGGATGTACAACAATCCATCCTCCTATTCCTCCCAGTCCAGCTGTGGAAAATGAAAAGGGATGAGATTGTTAGAATTCGTTTTGAGTATTGAATAGTTGCATGAGTTGAACATGTGTTGTCTATGTGTTCGAATTGTAACTCAGGCCTGTACATTACCTGTTGAGAAGGTGACCCACTTGGGTAACGGTTCTTGCGACATCTTCGGCGTATACGGTCTAATGATCGGTTCTTACGCTCGCCGATTCCTATCCAGCAACAGATGTACAGTATTGCTCTAACGGTACATTGTAGTGTAAATATGTACAAATTTGACTATGTATTCATATATATCACGCACAATAGCATGCTGTCAGGAAAAAAGTGTCAAAATGATGTATTATTGCATCTTCGTCCAATGGCTACGCGTCCCGTTCGGACGCTAAATATTTAGTATTCAGTGTTTTTTATCCGAGTCCCGGATCAAGGAATTTAGGTTTTTCTGCAACATTGAATAGCCCCAGACAACATAAAATTTTGGGAGGAGAAGGGGGGGGATTTTTACTATCGAGGTTGACCCAGAGGTACCTTAAAAAACCAATCTCATTGGCATTCAGATAGCACAATTTCTTCTTTTTGACGAATAATAAACGTATACTTAATCTCATCCCGATCGGACTATTGGTTCGAAAGTTATGAAGGATTTCAATTAGTACCAGAACTGGGTCAAACTAGCCACGCGTAAGCATTATACAAGTCCACCCATACCTAACAGACCTTTCTGGCATTATAGCATACTACTTTATTGGTCTATGGGGGCCTATATGTGCGCGTATAGCGAGTCTGGACGTGTATTTCGGGTACCTCATTTTCTAACTGGTACAAAAGATACTGGTTAGAAAATGAGGTACCCGAATACACGTCCAGACTAGCTATACGCGCACATATAAAGCAGTATGCTATAAGTACACGCACATATATATAT